TAACTGAGTACAATAATACATTTCTCAGTCACTGGTGAACTTTAGCAAGGACAAAAAAAACATGGATTTTGAGCATAGACATTATGGAGATGTAACATCCTAAAGTTCAGAGCACTTCTTGGCCAGTTTATGAGCAGGCTGTTGAGCAGTTGCTGTTTGAAGGTCCTGGGTGAGGGAGACTCCATGGGACCACAGGAGTTCCTGACCTTGACCCCTGCCCACCCAGAGCCTAGAGCCTGCAGCGTTGGTCCCTGCCGTCGTGCAAACATTGGCCCTGAAATTAGGCCAAGGCTAAGGCTGCAAAGGCCCTGGAAGAAATGCAGTGAAACTGAAGCTGTCTAGCAACATTGGGGAGCTGTGCCACTCTGGTTCGGCGACCCTGCCTAATAACTGAGCATTTACGTCGGTGAGGACCACTGTTGATGGGGATTCTCTCAGATGTGTTGCATCTTGGCTTAATCAGTGTTTAACTTGTGACAGCACTGGGCCATTCTTAGGAACATTGATTTTTAGACTGGGCTATAATACAGGGTTGCCTTTGGCTGCTTTTAGAACTTTCTGGTCGCTTTTGAAACTATCTTAGACTGCTGTGCTGTGGAATTCTTAAGGTTGCTTTTTATAGCTTTTCTTGTTTCCTCCCATAGTTGTCAGCTTTTATTTCTTGGCCAGCAGTCTCTCTGCAGGGTGGCAAGCCATCCCCTGGCCCCTCTAATTTGCTGTGTCCTTGGGAACCAAACACAAACCTCGCTGGAATTTACATAAACAGAGAATCAATAGACCCTGAAGAAGGGGAGGCTTGAGGGCCCTTCCCTGAGGAGCTCCTGGCACCTGGAGGGCGCAGACATCTCGGTGTGTGTCTTGGTGGCTCCAAGGCCTTTTCTTCTGCCTGGCTGCTGGGTTGGGGAGTGTTCCTCCTACATCCTCGGCCTGTTTCTCTGCCCAGCATTGCCAGGGCAGGGGGAGTGCAGTGTTTTATGAGGAGACATTGAGAAGGAGAATTCCCAGGTGTGGTATTTTACAAGTGTGTACCTGGGCGCCTGAGTGTGAAAGATACCAAAAACAGGTGTTTGTGAGCCAGAAAGAATTTTGTGGGGAAAAAAGTAATGAAAAAGGAAAGTGAGTGATCACTGAAACTTGTCTGCCAGACTGGACTCTTAAGAAGTCTTAGTGAAGTCTTTCAGACTTGGAAAGGAAAAGTAAAATTAAATTGACTTCTGCGTTCCCAAAACCCTGTTTTAAAAATTATATTATCTATAATTGTTGTTGTTACTATTATTTTTAATCCTTACCCAAGGATGTTTCCGTTGGTTTTAGAGAGAGAGGAAAGGGAGAGAGAGAGAGAAAAACACTGATGTGAGAGAAATATCAATTGGTTGCCCCCCGTATGCACCCCAACCAGGGATTGAACACACAACCTAGGTGTGTGCCCTGACCAGGAATCGAACCTACAACTTTTTGGTGTACGGGATGTTGCTCCAACCAACTGAGCAACCTGGCCAGGGAGCTATAGTTACTATTATATTATCATAACTAAACTACAGTTAATCATACTGTGTTATATACTTGAAAGTTGTTTAGAGTGTAGGTCTTAAAAATTCTCATTGAAAAAAAATTTTGTAACAATTACAAAAAATGTAATTATGTGTGGTGATGGGTATTAATTAGACTTACTGAGGTGATCTTTTTGCAATATTTACAAATACCAAGTCATGTTGTACACCTGAAACTAATATAATGTTATTTGTCAATTACATCTTTATTAAGAAGTCACATTACCATGCTGCTTTTTTGTTTCAGAGTTTAAAACAATAAAATGCTACTTAATACTGGAAGTCCGCAGTAGTTCCCTCTCGGGTCCTGTCCTTCTTCCTTCTCTCCAGAGGCATCCACTCTCCTGAACTTAGCCTTGTTTTCTTCCGAGGCAAGTTTTTATTCTTTCAGTATGTATTTTCCTATCCATCTATTAGACAGCATTCTTTTTCATGGGTAACTTCATACGAGTGGCCCAACACTGTAATAGCCTTCTGTAACTTGCTTTTCTCCCTCACTATTATATTTTTGTAATTTGTTCATCTTGTCTCTGATTCATTCATTTTTCACTGCTCTTGAGCAGGGGTTGGTGAACAATGGCCCCGAACCAAATTTAGCCTACTACCTATTTCTGTACATAAAGTGCTATTGGAACCCTGCCACGTCCTAATTTTCTATAGCTGCTTTGCACTACAATGGAAAAGTTGAGTAGTTAAGACAGAGACAATGACCGAGTGGTTAGCAAAGCCTAAAATATTTACTGTCCAGCCTTTTACAGAAAAAGTTCCCCGAGCCCTGCCTTAGAATTCTGATGTCACAGTGCTTCAGTAAACATTTTTGTTTGTTCAAGAGTCTCCCTAGAGTGTATTGCTGGAAGCGAAATTACTGGGCTGGAGGGCATGTGCACCTTAAACTTTACCAAATATGACTAATGTGGTCCCCGAGGCAGACCTGCCCGTCTGCACTCCCACCGGCAGTCTGCGCGACTTCCGCTCCCTCCTCATTCGTGCCAACAGCCTGGTATTTTAAGACAAACTTGGCACGTGGATGCAGTTGAAGTGGTGCTTCATTACAGGTCAACATTTTTTCAAGTTGTTATTGACCATTTTCCATTATGGGAATTGTCTGCTAATAATATCCTTGGCCCATCTTCCTATTGAGTTGTCTTTCTCCTTTTGAGTTGTGAGAGTTCTTTATGTATTCTGGCCGCTGATCCTTTTGGTTATGTGCATTACAAACTCTCACTGACTTGGTTTTCAGTCAGTCTGGATTCTTTACTGGAGCTCTGTCTTACGGCCTAGTCAGCCTTAGTTCATCTTGAAGATATGAGTGATCTATATATATACATGCATACATGTGCACACACATTTGTAGTATGTATGAACACACATATGCACAGAAATGCATCCATAAACGACAAGTTTCCCTTGGGAAGGTTTGTACCGTCTACCTTTGTGAGAGTCTGAGGACGAAGAAAGGTAAGGAGTTGCCAACAGTCTCAGCAAGGTTGATCCAAAACAGCCTACCCCACTAGGGTATTCACGGAAGCTGATTGCTGCTGATGCCTTGGCTGGTGGACGTGACTCTCAAGGTCCCAGGGAAGCCGAAGGCCACCGTGGTGGGATACAAGGGGTTTGGAGGGCTGCCTTGGACAGTAACCGAATGTGATTTGTGGTTTTGGGTTTTCCTTATTTTGGTTTTGGCCGAAGCCAGACCTTGGTTTCAGCTTGATCAAGTCTAACCATTCTCTGGCTCACAGTGATTTAAATCATTAAAACTCCCATTTCCAGGCCAGACTCCTTTTGTTTGGCTTTGCACTGGTCCCTCGTCTTCAAAACCAAGATCACTGGCTTCCCTTCTCCCTCCGTCTCCTCTGACCTTTCAATTCAGACTGTCTGAGTTGAATAGTTAAAAAATAACTGCAGTCCTTCGGGTTTACGGATCCCTGTGAAATTTACAGTCCTTGAAGCCATACCCCCTGTGTATCTTAGCAGTAGCTCAGTGAAGCGTGTGGGAAGATAGATGGCAGCTGCCACCTTGCCGTTGAGGACCATCGAGAGACACCAGCGCGGGCTTGCCCCGGTCCCACAGCAGCCTTCTGTGCTGGGCCTGGTGTCCCACGCCGGTGCTCTCCCCGCAACGTGTAACTCAGGCGTGGGCTCAGTTCATCACCCAGGATCCAGGATAGCACCTCTTCATCATCGCCAATATTGCCCCTTCAGACATAACTAGGGGAACGTTCCCTGAGCCCGCGCCAGGTGCCAGACCCTGCACTGTCCCTTTTCTCTCGCATTGTTGCGTTGTCCCATTGTCCCAGGCGGTGCTCCAGTTAGTGCTGTGTGAGTAGCAGGACGAGCTGCGTGGGCCTGGGACCGCAGCAGTCATTCAGGGCCCGCGCTTACCCCAGAAGGGTGCCATGCCAGCTTTTACACCCTGCACGTACCTTCTTGAACTTTTAAATAATTTTTGAATAGTTGTCCCCGCATTTTCCAGTCTGCAGTGGGCCCTGGAAATTATGGAGCTGGCCCTGTACACAGATAAGGAACCAAGGCTCAAGAGGTGACGTTGTTTGCCCAAGATTACACAGCTAACAATGGGGAGAACAGGGATTGCAGTGATTTTTACTTTGCTCCTTCATTTATTAAAAATAGAGCTCTGAAGAGCCTTATTTGAATTGCACTGCAGGGAACTGGGAATGAGGCAAGTCGTGCTGTAGAAATACCGATTTTCTGTGGAGATTTGCTTGCCTGTTGGTAAATAGTTTTGTGATGACCCACCCTGGCCAGTTGCCACCCTTGCCTTTGAGGGAGGGATCCTGTCATTTCTTAGGAGGTCCCTGAAGGTGTCTGGAACAGGGAGCCTCACAGGGGAGCCACCCAGGCTGACCAAGTGGGTTAATGGGCTTCTTGGATTGCAAAGAAGTGACACCACCGAGTTTAGTGATCCACAAAGATACATGAGGCAGTAAGATGCTGGTCCACAGTTAGGGAACCAGGGGGATCTGGCATAGCTCTTGGACTAGATCTTGCCATCGCTGCCTCGGTGGTGGAGGGTCCTGGATTCCCAACTCAGCTACTCCTGCTGGCTTTGCTTTTCTCTGTGTGCCTGTTATGCTGCCAAGCATTCCACTTGCAGCTCTCCCAGGACATTCAGGTTTGCCCCAGGCCCCTGGGGCAGCTGGCCTGCCGAGAGTTTGACCACTGGGGCGAGGCACCTGGCCCTGTTGGTACAGCTCTAGGCCATCCGCACGGTGGCTTGGGCACAGGAGCTTTCAGAATGCAGCAGAGTGAATCTTGTCCTAGCCGGGTCATTGTCTGGCCAGGCTCCCAGGACGGGCTTAACAGGTCAGCGATCCTAGAAGGTGAGCTCTCTGCTTCCCGAGCAGGACGTACTCCTGGCAGGAGAAGGTCCCGAGGGTTTCCACAGCGACTTGCTGACCTCTGGTGACAGGCCCTGTTTTCCCTTTGCAGCGGCAAACCCACTGCTTTGCTCCACGGCGCGCTACCACTGTAAGAACGGCCTCTGCATCGACAAGAGCTTCGTTTGCGACGGGCAAAATAACTGCCAAGACAACAGCGACGAGGAGAGCTGTGAAAGTTCTCAAGGTAGGAGACACCGCAGCTCTAAAAAGACATCTCAGCATCACACTGCAGTGACGCTGGAAGGGAGAAAACAACGCCCATACCCACCTCCAAGTACAACGCTGGGTTAATGTTTGCACTTGACCCTGCAGCTTTTGTGCACATGGCTTTAACTATAATGCACCATCCGTTTTGTTTTTCTCATGTATTAAACATCATATACACATTTTCTCTTCAAAATTGAAGTTTGCCTCTGCTGCGTTACATCCCGTCATGGTGCTCTGCTCTGGTTTTCTGGCATTGTTGGGGGCCATTGGGGCTATTTCTTCCCATTGAATTACTAAGTTTGGGGGGGTGGGGCGGGGGGAACATCTGCATGGTTCATGGCTCCACCTGCCACACAGCTGTTGGAAATTATTGTTTTGCCTTACACGGCGGCTAGCGCTGTTGGCCCATGGCGGTTTCACTGTAGTACCCCAGGCATTCCTGCTGTGCTATTTTTTCCATTTTTGCTAATTTAGCAAGCATAGAATGATAGCTCCCCAAATGCTTTAATTTGCATTTCTCTTATTATGAGCAAAGTTAACATTTTCCCCCATGTGCTTGTTTGCTACTTTGTTTCCTCTTGTGTGAATTGCCTACTTACATCAGAGCTCTCAGTCTCAGAGCTATTTTCTGGTAGCTGATGGGTGCAGTTTGGGGATAGAAAGATAAGCTTTTTAGGGAACCCAGAAGGACACAGCAGGGTCATATCCTCTGCTGGTACATTGTGTTACTCATTTACTCTTTTCCTATAAACATGCATTTTCTTCAGTGATGAGGAAAAAAATGCAAAGATTTAAGAACATATGTCCATTTTAAGGCGCTCTAAATATGTATATGTATGTTTCTTTTATAAACTGGTATTTTGGGTCTGCAGTCGTTACTTTTTTTACTTAATAGCATATCGCTGTGTTTCACTCAAATTATTTTTTGCTGGTAGATTTCATTTTCTTGACTGTTATCAGTATCCCATTCTATAAATGCCCCACAGGCTATGGATTTGATAATACTGTAAAACAGAAAGCAAGTGAAAGATGGTGGATGGATAAGATAAGGGCCATGAAGTGAGATGTAGGTTCTTTTCAAGGTCCTAGCTTTTATTTAGGTTGGTGGTTATGTTATTAAAAATGAATACATGAATGAATAAATGGGTAATTCGTAGACCACTGGTGAGAGGGAGTCACCAAACAAGGATTGTGATCGGTCCAAATCTGTACGTCTGCGGTTCAGAGACAAGAAAAGACAAAATGTGCATCAACATAGACTGCCAGAATCTGTGCAGAGAACAACAGCTTGGAGAGCTGAGTGAGTCTCTGATTGTCCTTGGGTCTTTGCGTCACCAGTGGTTCTTAAAGTGTCACCCTCAGAGAAGCAGCAGCAGCCTCCCATGGGACCTCTGGAAATAGAGAGCTCGGGCTGCACCCCAGACCAACTGAATCGATTGGTGTGCATTCTCTTTTCAGAGCCTTCCAGGTGACTTCAGTACGCATTCAAGTCCGAAGCCGCTGTGCTATACTAACTTCAGAGAGGTTTCTAACCTTCCCATGTGATAAGGAATTTCTAAACTTCTGATGGAACGGCAAGGCATTTCTAGTCTTTACACAAAGTCAAATTTTTATACACAGAAGTTATGCCAATGGACGTCCTCTGGCATATGCCATCAGCAGTGATAGAGGGCAGATGCGGGGAACAGCAGTCACAAAGTCAAATAAATATTAACATAGATAGGAGGCATTGAGGAAAGTTTTCATTGAGTAGTAGTGTATCATTTCTTATGTGTTTACTACACTCACTTACGGTGCCCTGAGATGTTCAGTGAAAGAACCCCCTTAGGGGTTCTTAGGGTTCAAGACTAAAACTTAGAAGCCAGGGAATTTGTCCTGATGGTTTTAGCTGCACCTTCCCCCACCCCTTCCCCCACATGCCTATTCCAGCATTTTGCAGAAGCAGATTTTTGCTTACCCTTAAGAACTGTCCCTCTGCAGGCTGGTTAAAGTTAGTATTTCTAAACCCAGCTCCTTTTCCTCTGCATATATTGTGCTTTCATATAAACGTGAGGGGTAGAAAAAGTCAGCGGTGGACACGTGCACGCAAAGCCCAACTTGCGGCCGACACCGGGCGTGGAGCAGCCTTCCTGAGGGTCTCAGCTTTGTGCCTTCCATACTCAAACGACACGCCCCTGGATGGTCAGCTGTGTTCTCACATGCCCTCACAGAACAAGTCCCATCAGGGCGTGGGTAACAGCTGTCAGGGGCCGTCGGTGTGCCAGCCTCTGCGCAGGGGTGCCCGTTGTGGGAAGGCATGCCCCCGGGAGGCGTGCCCTATTTGCCTCTCGAATCCCACAGACCCTACCTAGTAGCAGGGTGTCCTCCGCCTAGTGGATTTAATAGGCACTGGAGACTGGAAAAGAGATCTTTGTTGGGTGTCACGTTATTAAACTGTGCTTAATTTGCACCCTGTGTAGTAGTACATTGTTTGTGTTTTTAAATTATGTGAGTTTACACCTCTGCCGTCTATGAAAATAATCACGTTAAGGATCACCGTTGTTTAGAGAAGATGGGGCTGTTGCGCCCCTGGGGGAGCGTGCCCCACAGCGAGCGTGCGATGGGGCCCTGGGCCTGCTGTCGCCTGGTTTTGCGTCCCTCTTAGGTGTGACTTCCCCCTGCTGTGAGTGTGATTCCAATCTTAGAGGGCATGCTCTCCTCCTACTGAGTATCCTCTAGGCAAAATGGCAGCTAATTCTGGTACTTAAACAAAGGAACACCAGTGTACCGAGGCTGGGGGAGATCCTGGCTCGTGGGCTTCTGAGAGAATGGGCTCCATGTCCTCCTGAAGGATTTGAAAGACATCTGGATTGGGCACAGTCTCGCCTGGTACCACAGAAGAGTTGACCCCTTGTCATCTTAATAATAGTGGACACTTATCAAAGCTTGCCATGCACTAGATACTGTGCTAATATGCACCTTCTGGTCATGAGCTCATTTAGTCAAAATATATACTGTCTGCTTCTGCTGGGCTTCCAGTCCTTCACAGATGCATCTTTGCTTTCAATTGATGTGAGAAAAGAAAGTTATATTTTATAATGTTTGTTTGGACAGAGTGGAGGAAGCTGGCCCCCAGGCAGGAAATACGGTTCTTCAAGTACTTTCCTTCTAATTTGATGAGGTTATGGGGAAGTGTTGTCTCCACGCTGGAGACCCCAGCTTTGGTGTGCCTCTCCTCTCTTTCTCTGCTCATCCCAGCGAGTTCCCTGCCTGACCCTGGGTGGTTAAATCAACAACAAACTCTGCCAGGAATTGGAAGCAGGATGGGACCATGCATGTGCAGTCATTACTGTACCTTTCCATTCCATATGGGATGTATTAGAGACCAGAGAATGCCATGATGGAATCAAATTTTACTTGGGGCCTCAGTGATTGGAACCGTAACCTGTTTACCAGATAATTCCCCAAAGCGGTGGCTTTGGAGCAGGCTTTGCATATGGACTTTCTATTGCTTAGGAACACCCCCTGGGAGGGGCGCATCTGAAGTCCGCAGATGCTGCCCAGCACGTGCTGGGTGTGGCCAGCACTGAGGTGGTCGTGAATAGGTTGAATTAATTCCTAATCGCACAGTTAGAGTCTTTTCAACTTTGGGTAAATGACTGAGCCGTGGCAGGCAGCCTTTACTGATTCCCATCTCCTGGGGTTCACACTCTGTCATAATCCCAATCCTTTGAATGTGATCTACACTTTGTGACTTTTTTTTTTAAATTGTGGCAGAATACACATAGCATCAAATTTACCATCTTAACCATTTTGGAGTGTATAGTTCAGTAGTGTTAAAGTTTATCCGTGCTGTTGTACGCCAGTCTCCATAACTGTTTCATCTTGTGAAACTCAAGATGCTCTACCCATTAAAAACATTCCCCATTCCTTCCTCCTCCCCCCAGCCCCTAGCACCGCCATTCCACCGTCTGTCTCTACGCATTTGACTACTCCAGATAATCTCATAAAAGTGGAATCGTACAGTATTTGTCTTTTGCTGACTAGCTTATTTTTTTATTTAGCATAATGCGTTCAAGGTTCATCTACGTTATAGCATGTGTCAGAATTTCCTTCGTTTTTAATTAAGGCTGAGGAATACTTCATTGTCTGTACCACATTTATCCATTCATCTGTTGATGAACATTGAGTTGCTTCCACCTTTTGGCTATTGTGAATAGTGCTGCTGTGAACATAGATATACAAATTGTGACTTGCTTTTAACAAAGAAAACAGCGTCAATGGTGATGGGGCATCAGTTCCCAAGATTAGATTACAAAAGACTCTAGTGTCTGTTTTGCTTCCTCTCTCGCTAGTGCTGATTGGAAGACAGCACCATGTCCTAAGCTGCCCCTTGGACAGACCCACGTGGCCGTGACCTGGGGAGGGCTCTGGCCAATAGCCAGCAAGGAGCGTAGGCCTGCTAATAGCCACGTGATTGAGCTTGGAGTGGCTCTTCCTCTGGTCCAGCTCAAGCTGTCTGAGACCTCGGCAGACACCTTGATGGTAGTCTTGAGCCAGAGCTAAGCTGCTTCTGGATTTCTGATCCATAGAAACTGATAAAAATGTTTGTTTTACCTAAGTCTCTGCATCTGGGGATAATTTGTTATGCAGTTGGTAATAGATGAGTAATATACTGAATACCTCTCATGTGGGCCCCAATTCTGGCTGTTCTACTGACAGAGGGCTTATGAAGACTCAGGTGATGGTGGGGGAGTCAGCTTTGGAAGGAGATCAGGTCGGGTGTTTATAAGGACCGCCGTGACTTTGGCCACTGACTGAATGGCAGGCACCATTCCCAGTATTTTATTTGTAAAGCCATGTGAGAGGGACCATCTCTCAGTAAATGAGCCCCCACCCCCTTCTCTGATGGAGAACCCGAGGAGCAGAGAAGTTGTTCACGGTTGCACCATGTCCACACAGTGAGTGGTGGAGCCAGGGTGGGAACTCGGGCCATCC